TGCGTGAAGCGTAGCAAGCATGATTCGGTAATAAGACATGCCAAAGGGTCGGGGTCCTTCGTTTATTACCCATGCTTGTGCGACTCTGAGGTCTCGACAGAATCGTCTTTATTCAACACCGGTTGCGGTAGTTTTTCAGTCCCTCCGTCTCGTAAGTATGTCTGAAGGAGCGCAAAACGGAGTCTATTGCGAGTATACGGCGCTTGGTATGATAACGAACGGTTACAAGATGGCGCATTCTTTCATTGGTCTTTGTTCCACATATTGACCTTAAGTGAGTTTGTTGTTTACACTATTAGCACACTTTAATCTTTCAATTGTCGTAGTCTGTAATGATTACACAACCCATGGTGTACGAGAGAATCAAGCTACACTTGGTTGGTGCTTGGCTATCTTGTTCAGCATTTTGTCTTGCATCTTACTTTTTTTTGTTACAATATTGTATTATATTATAGAGATTTTTGATCAAGTAATCTCTGATTAATCCACCTCGTACTATGTTGGGACTAGGCTTGCCCTAGCACTGATTTGTTTTTTTTTTTTTCGCAAATCTTGACTTAGTGAGGATTACTAGGAGATATAGTGTGAGATACGACTTGGAGAATCATACGGTGAAAAGTACAACCATAGGGGGATTGGAAGAGGTCTGTGTGACGCTAGTTGGTTACCGGATGAATTTTTAGTGAGACTGATATGTTCTTATACCGGTCAAGGCAGCTATTTTAAGTCGTGTTCAGTTTCCCTTTGGTCTTCATTGCGTGAGGTGCCGTGCCAATTGAATTTGAAAGCTCGCTCACACCTTTCCCGCAGACTCGCCTCGTTCATTGGTGTGATTTGCCGTTAGGGATCGTGCTCCCACCGTATGCCGATTATATGATCTAGTCCCGTCCCATTGTTGTCCGCCCTTCTCGACCTGGCCAACGCGATTTTGCCGCTCCCCTGGACGGTTGCTTGAATTGACCCAACCAGGATAGTTCGTCTTTTGTGCGTACTGGTGAAAATGGTCCCAGTGCTCTGTTTGTATATTTTATCGTGAGAGGTGTAATTGCTATTCGCTTTTAAAGTTGTGCAGTGTAACTATCCGTTCCGTCTCCCTGTATGTTTTGGTCTGTCGATGTGTAGGCCGCTTGGTGCTTTGTGTGTTCATCCCTAAAGGCGGTGTGCAATGTCCCCAAACTTGTGCTCCCTTTTTTCTAGTTCATGTGGGCCTCGCTAAATATCAAGTTTTAGCTCCTATTTACCCCTTTCGTGCTGTGCGACTGTGCCATTACTTAATTCGGTCGCCTGGGTAATCTCATTTTTTTGTTCTCTCATTGTTTGAGTTCCGCCACTCTTCCGTTCTTCTAGAGATGGTGCCTCTCGGTTCATCTGAGCCGCTCTTTATTGTACGCACACGTTCTTATCATGGTGTCTTCTCATACTACCCGCCCCGGGCTCTTAGTGCCCTCATGACGCTGTTCATGTCTCCTTTGGTGTTCGGAGTGGTTGTCCTCAGCGCTTCGTTTTTTTCGCCTTGGTCTCCTGTGGCCCGTCGCCTTGCAGCTGCGTGGCCCGCTCATCGCTGTTGGGTTCCGTGCTTAGTGGTCCGCGATGGTAGTGACAGTAAGTGACGGAGTGTGCTGGCGTGTTGCGTGTGTGTGGTGTGTGTTGTGCGCTTGCGTGTATGGTGTTTCTTAGTGTATTCTATAACTGATCCTTACACGTCTCTCGACGAATTTCCAATTTAAAGCGCGCGCGGAAGGGAGTAACGGCTAAGAAGGGTGCGACGACGATAGAGAGAGAAGGGGGAATAGAGAGACGGGAGGAGAGTAGTTAGTTCGCAAGCGTTTGATGTTGTCCCCGGCACGGGAATCGTACGAGTTAGAGCAGTCAGAGACAGGAGATAGGAGAATAGAGGATAAGAGAGGAGATAGAGCGGCTGGTCGGGGTATAGGACCACATGGTTGTCAAGAGTGGTGAGAGCGTGGATAACGAAAGGCTCACTGTGGCTCGCCGGGACATGGGGGAGAAGAGAGGGGTGGTGCTGAATAGCATGAAAGTGGCACTAGGGCAAAGGATTTGGTGGCCAGAATTGGCCGAGTTAGGGGGGGGGGGCGCTTCGGCGCGTAATTTTATGTCCCCTTTCCTTGTGAAAGTAGCTTCTTTAGCGATTCTATTTGGGAATTTGAGAAGTGTCCTATTCGATTTGGACTCTATTCGTGGTTTCTCTTGAGAAACAAGGGGAGAGGGAGTGGTGGAGAAAGCAGATAATCCGGGGAGAACTCGCACGAGGATATAGGACCAGGAAGGGAGACGAGAAGGAAAGAGAGATACGAAGAGAAAGACGAAGAGAGGAGAGAGAAGAGACGAGAGAGAGAGAATGTTCGTAGACACGCACACGCCCCAGCATCAAAACGCCCCGATATAACACATAATTGAAGCTCGTAAAGCAGAAGAGTAGAGCGTATCAGACACGTATACGATGTAGTGAGAGAGTTGCCCAGTTACCAAATCTATCGAGGGCTACATTTTCAGTCACAGATAGCTGTCGATTATGTATAGGAAATTTTCCCATTCACTAATGTTCCCTCTATGAGCAAAAAAAAGTACAGATACTTAGCTATCCTGCTACCAGAGTGTTTCCTTGTATCTTTGAAATATTTCGAGTATTATCCTTGATCGTTAATGATATATAACTAATTCTACTCTCTTTTGACTTGTCTCGGATCTTCACAAACAGTGAACCTCTACTCATAATATGTGTCCGTTCGTATATCACAATCGTGTATTGTGAGCGTCCGCATAGTGAGTCATAATATACTCAGTGAGTCAGGTCACGCTAGGCATAAGGCGATCGTCCATCCTCGGGCCTCAGTTTTCGACGTTCATGGACTAAACATTAGACTGATGCACTCTAATGACAGCAGTGTCTTTTCCTATGCTCTGAGTGTGTCGTACAGACAAACGTCTTATCTTCTGACAGCCCAATTGCATTTACATTTGTGGTCCAAGGCCGACATTTCATTTCTCCTTCCACGGCCAGGTATGCAGTACAAAATCGATGGTGAGTGCAACAGGGAC